CTTTGGATGACATTTCTCTCCGTTAGACCAATGGGAAGGGGTTTTGAATGTCGCTTTGGCTAGCTTGAAAGGCGTTAGTAGGAGGGTTTTCATTGGCCGAGACAAACCAATCAGGTTTCGAGATACATCTCATGACTTGGAATCATATGATCGATTTTGGGAAATCATTCTTTACTTAGTTTTTCGATTTTTTATATAATAAAGATATAAATTGGCTTCATTTATGTTTCACTGAATAAAATAGTTGTTTGTATTGCCAGTTTTGGGGAAAAATACCACTGGGAAATATTTGCTATATTTAGCAGCAGTGTCACTCACTAATTGTCTATATATTTGTTTAAAAAAAAAACTACCCAGAAGTATATAATACTCAGTGATACACAATAAAGACAGTAAAGGATATACATGAAGTAGTTCTAATGGGATTATTGTCCATGTAGCACTTTTATAATCACCTTCCCAAATCTGTATTTTCAGAAGAAATTATGAAAACCTCTTCATAATGACACAACAAAGTACAATCATTATGAGTCATTTAATTGAGTTCATCTTCAAAAACCTTCAAAACATAAATATACAAGTCAGAACTCAAAACTTAGCGAAAACTATCTAAAGATAGCAAAAGCCGCTTGACAAGCCAAAGAAACCGCTACCCCACCTGCCAAAATGTAAACAAGAATGTCTGAATTGAGAAGAGCGGAGCAAAAAAATGAAATTATTTGCTGTGAAATAGCAAATAATGTCTAAAATTTGATATTTGATCATCGTATCTTATTAGTGATGTCGATCTGAGATATGGGTATGTGTTATTGATGATAGATAAGAATGATATCCTGTTATCAAATATGAAGTATGATAGTTATTTGAATTGAATGATACCTTTTAGAGATTCCAAAACCAGGGTGTCATACAAGACTAACCCCCCCCCCCTTTATTTGTACTTTGTGCCAACTTTTATTTATTATTTTTTTGTTCTCCTATCCCCTTCACTCTTGGGTGACCCGTGGAGAATGGGGGTTGGGGTAGGGGGGGGGGCACACACACGGAAGAAATAGCAGAATGAAAAGTGAAAATTTTGAAAAAAATGCAAAATCCGAACGAGATTCCGGCGGCGCGCTGTTGCGAGATCCCGACATTTCTCAACCTAACCAATCTAACCTAACCCTAACCCTCAACCTAACCTAACCAACCCAACCCAACCCAACCTAACCCAACCCAACCCAACCTAACCCTCAACCTAGCCTAACCTAACCTAATCCTCAACCTAACCTAACCTAACCCAACCTAACCTAACCCAACCTAACCTAACCTAACCAACCTAACCTAACCTAACCTAACCCTCAACCTAACCTAACCCAACCTAACCTAACCCAACTCAACCTAACCCAACCCAACCCGGACCCCCTTCCCTGGGCGTATTTCCTTACCCCTCACCTGGGGGTATTTTTCAGTATAAACGAAGCATACCTTCCAAACCCCTGTATTTTGTATTTTGCAGAAAGCTCATAATATTGTTTACATTCGAGACGGTCCGAGACAACAAGGTTTGTGGACTTTAGAGAGGCAACTTTTGAATTTCAATTAATGCACAACCAGTGAGGTTTCCACAATTTTAATAACTTCCCCGACAGGTACGAACTCTAGTCAATAATTCTGTTATACTTTCTTTTGTAAATATAGTGCGGCTGCCTAAATTAGTATTGCCAAAACTCTGGTTGTGTGAGGGTGGTGTGGAGTTTGTATATGAGCGGTAATATGCAGCAAATATTTTTGTCATTTTCAGTATATATGAGACTGCAGGAGCTGTACCTGTATTGTTTATGGCTCTATTTCTTATGCTCTATGGCCATTTTCCTCTATCTCAGTGCATTACTCTTGGTAACAGTAACTAAATCTCTATATATATTTTGGTATCTTGTGGTATCAAATTGCAAGGGAGGTCTACAATCTTTATTCTGATGGAATAATCATACTGAATGTGTATGGCAGTAGCTGTTACTAGGAAAATTACCAAGCTGTTGTAGTTTCTTTTTTGTGGATGTTAGTTGTATAAATATCACTCTGCTAAATCTCTCTCTCACTCTCGCTCTCTCTCCTCTCCTCTCTCACACATTTTTGCAATGTCAGGTTTCTTTAAAAACACTGCCACAAAATGGAGATGCATGTTGTAAAGAAAGGTTGGCCTCAGCAAGCCTTAGGAATGTTATTTCACACATTATTGTGTTTCATTATCATTATCATCAGTCATGATGTAATTATTATTATTATCATTATTGTATCATCATCATCATCAATCATAATTATCATTATCATCATCATCATTGTCAATATCAGTCTTAGGTATTATTATTACCATCATCATTAACCAGCATTGTCATCATTATTATCATCATCGTCAATTATAATTATTATCATTTTCATTATCGTCGTATCATCATCAATCATTATTATTGTTGTCATCATCATCATCAATTATTATTATTATTATTATCATCATCATCATCAATCATTAGTATTATTGTTATCATCCTCAGCATCAATCATTAATATTGTTACACCACCCTCTGGGCTTAACAATATCATCATCTTCATCATCATTATGTACCCCCCCCCCAAAAAAAAAAAAAAAAAAAAAAGTAAACTCCCAATTCAGGTCTTAGTATTCATTTGGCATCTAGTCATATATATATAGAACTACATACAACTATAGAACTGATGTTATTATCATACTTTGAAATTCTAAAAACAAGAAATGGATACTCATTTGGTCACTAAGTATTCCTAGTCTCACTGTCAAGTTGCTACATGGAAGCCATAGAACAGGTCCATAGTGAATCTTGCAGTTTATATAATTACCCTGATGAATTAGCATGTTCTGTTCTCCCTCTCCTAGTATGTGTCTTAGCTAGGACAACAATCTTCATACATACTGCGTGTGATTTTTGGTTTCGCTGATAATCTACATGTCACGCTTTCTTAACAGTAAGAAGAAATGAGAGGCACGGTGAAATCGGAAACGGCCCATCTTCGAGTTGTGTGAGGTAGTGAAGTGATTACAGCAGAGGGCAAAATGACTTCGTGTGCGTATATGGTAGATGTGATGGTCGGGGACCTCTCTCTGGTAGATCCCCCTTCCATCATCCACAGGAGCAAAAATCCTTTGTGCCCTGTCATTGCTGTGCAGGTAGGTGCTTTGGAAAGATTTTATGGGTAGGGGAGGAATTCTCTCTCTCAAGCTCTCCAGTGTAGTATTTTGATTCATGAAATGACCAATAACTTTGGAGAAAATTGTGATTAACTAGATGGCTGCTGAGGCAGTACTTTGTCACAAAGCTGCTCAATGTATTTATCTGTGGTATTACCAACTAGTTCAATTGGTACCATAGACACCTAAATGTGATAAACTCTCATTTGATGTGGTTCTATTGAAATGTAATTTTTTTTTTTTTTTCTTTTCTTTTCTTATATGAAATATGTTAACCATTAAACTTTAAACATTTTCATCATTTGGAAGCAAATTGCTTTAAAGTGTATGAGACAGTTGAATATCAAAAATATTTGGATTTACATGGGCTGTATTCATTGTTTGAGTTTCACATTCTAGGTACTTAGCTTTTCTAAACTAGTTTTTATTTTTTTTTCTCTCTAGATCTTCCATGGCCCCCTGCTCTACATCCCCTTCCTCAGCCCTGAGAGTGTTCAGGCTCATCTCCGGGATATCCATGATGGACACAACTTCCTCCCTTTAGAGATTGAAGAGAGCTATCTAAAGGGAGGAAAGTTTGTGTTCCGCAAAGGGAGGTCCTGTCTCTTCACCGCACCTCTGAATTCATTTGCAAAAGAGGGAGATGGAATTGACAGCCGGAATGACACTGACGTAGTTGTTGGGAGTTATGTAAACCTTGTAATCCTTAATGGCCTGTGCTTCCCCCCATCAGTGTTTGGGAGGTGCAAGGCAGCTATCCCTGTGAGTGGAAGGGAGAACAGAGAACCAAAGAGATGCCTGACAGGGAAAGTCATCCTTAGTGACCACCTTGGAAAGTCTGTTGCTTCACTCCAGGTGTCCATCACTTTGAGAAGTCTTGGAGAAGATATTGCCCTTCATGCAAGACATTTTGATACTACTAATGGAGAGGAAAAACAGTCAGTACCAGGGGTGGTTCCATCTCACAAATTTAGTGAAGACATGACCATTCCTGATTATGAGCTTAGTTCCAGGAGGTTAAGACTTGATAGGACCATCAATCTTCTGCAGGAAAGAGAGAACAGTAAAAAGACACCATTTAGTCATATTCATGACACAGTACTGGATCAGTCATATGTAATTAATCAACACTTTGTGGATCAAGGAATTGGAAGTTCAAAATACGGTTCACAAAGTCATGAGACTTCAGAGGTTATTGCCATGAAGATAGCCGAGTTTGAGAGAAATGTGCAAGATAATTCCAAGGAATTTCTTACGGCTCCTGTTGTGAGCCCCAGAATAGGAGGGAAGCTACCACAGCCCTCGCCCCTCCTCTTTACTGGGCGTGATGCAGAGGCAGAGAGACTGTGGAATTCCAAAATGAAAGAAGTTGGGGGTTATGTCTTAGACTTTGATAATGACAGCAGTGAATCCTTCCCTACAAGTGAGGGAGAAGAAAACATCTTAAAGAATGAAGATAAAACTGAGGAAATAGAAAAATTGAAAAAGATTGTAGAAAAACATAAAGACCCAAGAGAGATAGAGGCTAAGAAGATGAATTATGCCAAGGAAAGATCTCAGAGGAATCTAAAGAACACGAAAAATGCAGATAACAGGAAGTCAGTGAAACATGCACAAGGTATGAAGAGGCCCACTGGCTGGCTGCGCAGCACTCCCATTGCTCCCTACAGAATGTACTCTGAGCCCCCACGTCCCAAACTCACCCGGACCTCTCTCTTAAGAAGGGCAAAGCTCGACCCAGAGCTTGCAAAGCAGCTGCGTGCAGAAGTGGACTTCCAGGTCAAGCAGAAACTTA